TTTTTTTTTTTTTTTTTTTTTTTTACCGGTATCAGATATCGAACTAGAGTCCTTGCGCTTGTGAGGCAGGCAGTGGAACCACTGAGCTAAATCCCGGCCCCTTCCCTCTCTTAGTTACGATGAGTTCTCTTAATGGCTGATGGTGTTAAATTCTAGATACTAGACACCTTCATCCCACATTTGCAATATTCCTGCAGTCAAGCAGGAAGTCTCTATACTGAGAAGGGGTTGGTCAAGTACAGCCCACCAGGTGTCTGCAGTCAGGAGCCCTGCCTGGCCCTGGAGCTACCTGGTGACTCCCCACTGCTCTAGTTCATGCCAGTCCTCCCCTTGTTGTAGCTAATGTTCTTCACTACAGATAGCACCAGCACCTTTTCAGAAAAGCTCTTTCTGCACTCTGGCCTACCTTGGCTGTTTCTCACCTGGAAAATTTCCTGGCTATCCTCACTTTTACTGATCTCCCTTCCTAACAGTCACATTCACTTTGGAGCTTGAGCTGTCACAGTACTTCACTACTCATTGTGGTGACAGTGAAGGGCGATGGAGTGAGGAACACAGACCTTCAGAAGTGAGCTTCCTTTCATTTAGGTTTTTTTTGTTTTTTTGTTTTTTGTTTTTTGTTTTTTGTTTTTTTGTTTTTTGTTTTTTTGGTACTGGGGATCAAACTTGGGACCTTGCACTTTCTTTTTTTTTTTTTTTTTTTTTTGGGTTGGGGGGAAAAACTTGGGGCCTTTCCCTTTTTTTTTTTTTTTTTTTTTTGGCTTTTTGAGACAGGGTCTCTCTATATAGTTGAGACTGACCTGGAACTCGCTACGTAGCCCAGGCTGGTCTTGAACTCACAGCGATCCTCCTGCCTCAGCCTCCTGAGTGCTGGGATTACAGATGCAAACCACCATGCCCGGCTGGGACCTTGCACTTTCAAGGCAGGCAGCGGAACCACTGAGCCAAATCCCTGGCCCTCTTCATTTAGTTCTTATCAAAGGGGTTTGGGACATCTCCTTCGCCGCTGCCTTATCCACAACCAATGCCAGGTCAAGGGGGCGTCCCACCAGAGGGTATACCTTGTCTTCCCCACACGCGAGCCATCTCCAGATGGGAAGATCCCCCACCGGGGCCCTCGGGGCCAGATTCTACTGTGGCCCTGCCCTTAAGGGCCACAGGACCTCCTGATGCTGCTGAAAACCCTCGCTTAGTTCATTGGCCATTTTCCACTAGTGATTTATATAATTGGAAATTGCAAAACCCCCCATTTTCGGGCAAACCCATGATATTAATTAATCTGTTAGATTCTATTCTATTCACCAACCCACATGGGATGATTGCCAACAACTGCTTCAAATCCTCTTCATCACAGAAGAATGAGAGAGGATTATTAAGGAGTCACGGAAATTGGTTGCCAGTGAAGATGGTAGACCCACCACTATCCCAGAACAGATTGAAGCTGGGTTTCCACTGAGGAGACCGGAATGGGACCCCAGTACTGAGGCAGGTAAGGAGAGACTCAAGTCTTACCACCAGACTCTACTGGGGGTCTCTACACTGCCGCAAGGCAGCCTACAAATTTGTCTAAGGTAAGCCAGATCATCCAAGGAAAGGAGAAATCTCCGAGTGCCTTTCTAGAGAGGTTAGAGGCATATCAGACATATACTCCCTTGGACCCAGAAGAGGAAAACAATAAATCTGTAGTCTGCATGGCCTTTGTTAGCCAATCGGCTCCTGACATCTGGAGAAAACTACAGAGAATTGAAGGCTTTGAAGGTAAGAGGCTGACCGAATTAGTAGCAATAGCTGAAAAAGTATATAATAACAGGGATCCCCTAGAAGAGAGATAGGCCAGCAGAATTGCAAAGGTGTTGCTGGCCGCCTCAGCAGGCCCAGGGTGCGAACATGAACTTAAAAAATAGCCTTTAAAGGAACTGATCATAAAGATTACAACATTGAGAGAGGGAAATTAGGGACAAGGGAATTACACCCCATATTCGGAAACTAAAGGAGATGGGGATCTTAACTCCATGCCAGTCTGCCTGGAACACACCACTGCTCCCCATTTGGAAGCCCAATTCAGAGGACTACAGGCCAGTGCAAGACCTTTGAGAGGTAAATAAACAAGTAGACGATATTCACCCTACTGTGCCTAACCCCTATACTCTTCTTAGCTCTTCACCCCAGAACAGACAGGTTTACACGGTGCTAGACTTGAAAGATGCCTTCTGCCTCCCACTGGCGAAACAAAGTCAGCCTCTCTTTGCCTTCCAGTGGACAGACCTGGAGAATGGATTCAATGGACAATTAACTTGGACTCGACTCTCACAGGGATTCAAAAACTCGCCCACCATCTTTGACGAGACGCTCCATGACAACCTGGGTGAGTACAGGACAATGTTCCTGGAAGTAACTCTTCTACAGTATTTTGAGGATTTGTTATTGGCTACACAGACTATGGAAGAAGGCACAAGGGCTACGGAGGGCCTTTTACAGATCCTTGACAGATTGGGTTATCAGATTTCGGAAAAGAAAGCCCACCTGTGCCAATTGGAAGTAATCTACTTAGTTTACATACTCAAGGGGGGACAATGCCACTTGTCCACAGCCCGGAAGGAAACCATCCTCCAGATCCCACAGCTAACAATCCGCCGCCTAAGGCACTGTCCTTTATGGCCGTTTCTAGGTCTTCCAAGACACCACATGTCTGTGTCCTATGGTTTACCTGCATTGGCTGCACTACAGATGTTGGGATGAGGGCCCTCCCACCAAGGGGTTAGGACTAAGATGTGCCCTCTCTTCTGAGGGACCCAGAGTTAATAGGCTGTGACCATCTCTGATGAGCAGGAGAGATACAGGCCGGGAAGCAGAGCACTCTGAAGCAGAGGACAACCCAGAAAGCCAGTTAGGTGGATGGCTTACAGTGAAGTAACCCTACTCGAGACTTAGAATAAGGGGCTCCAGGACCAGGAACCCCAGAAAATAAGTAGCTCTCAAGCATCTTTTCAGATTTCTTTCTCCTTTTCTCAATTTTTTTTCCTTTTTTAAAAAATTGAGACATGGGCCAGGGATTCAGCTCAGTGGTTCTGCTGCCTGCCTCACAAGCACAAGGTCCCAAGTTCAACCCCAGTACCCCCCCCAAAAAAGTGAGGGGCTTGCTATGTAGCTCAGGCTCACTACGGACTCACCGTGTAGCCAGGCTGGGCTCAAACTCAAGGCGACCCTCCTGCCTCAGCCTCCTGAGTGCTGGGATTACAGGAGTGCCGCACTATGCTCAGCTCCTTTTCTCTTTTTAAAATATAAAATATGGGGCCAGTCGCTTCCTGTCTCACAAGTGCAAGGTCCCGAGTTTGATCCCTGGTACCAAAAAAATAAATAAAATACAAAATATGGTTTTATTTCTGATTTTTAATACCTGTACATTTAACAAATACTTTTACTCTGATAATACATTCTTGCAATTAGCAAAGCCCTTGAATTAACTCTTGCTTCCTTCTTCCCAAGGTTTACCTCTGCTTGTTTCCTAACACAGAACTTTGTTTTCCTTAAATGCTCACTTCCTTTCCACACCTCTCCAACCTGTCACCCTGCTTCTTCCTTTCCAGAGAAAACTGATCAACTTGTGTGAGCCTGTCAGCCACGGTCTTTAAGTATGTCTGGAAAGTGCCGGAAGTGGACTGGAGGGGGGTCCTTCCCTCCCAAGACAGAGGGGCTCTGGAAGCCCCAAGGCAGCCTGCTCCCTCTCAGCTTCTTACCACTGGAGCACTGGACACTGCTGCACCTCCAGAGCACGCTCCCGCTTGAAGCCGTAGCCTCTATCTGGGCAGGGGCAGGGGCAGGGCCAGTGGTCAGCGTGAATGCACCAGTGACTAGGGAGTAGGGAGGAGGAGGTGAAGGGGAGGCTGCAGTCAGGACAGGTGTAGGGCTTCTCACCTGCGTGTTCGTGCTGCTGGATGGCCGGCAGGTAGGGGTAAGTGAAGCAGCTCTTGCAGCCCTTGCATTTGGGCATGGGTAGGGCTTCTGGTGTGAGCCTGCCTGTGCATGGCGAGCAGCTCCAGTGGCTGAAGCTGCACCCGCAGTGAGGTGCAAGTAGGGATTTTCTCCCGTGTGGATGAACTGATCCTGGAGCAGGTACTTTCACTGGGAGAAACTGAACAGGGAAATGATTTCTGAACAGAAGGAACCTGTGCTATAGCTAACCTGGGAGCAAGCAAAAGGCTCCTCCTAGCTTCGCCATCTCCTGTGCCTTTGTTCTTAGTTTCTGTGACCCCTGCTTCCTGCCATATGTGAAAAGGTAAATCCTTGTGTACCTTTCTATCCAATTGTGTAAGCTGAAAGTATCTACCTCAATAAACTAATGCTGAGTGTCTTGCCACTGCATCCTCACCCCTCTTTTCCCAAACCTATATAAATCCTGTTCACTGCTCAGATGGGACTAATTAATCACTTTGCAGAGAAGTCCTGGATCAGTTCTCTAGTGAAATTAACCTGCCTCCAACTTCCAGGGTGTGTGCTCCATTCTTCTCAGCCTGACTCTGTTATGCCACCTAGAGCTACAACACCAGGAGTTATATTTGTTACAAGAAAATGAGTCTGGCACTGCTCACAGTGGAAAGGCCACTCCCTAGGGTGGACCTGCTGGTGGCTGGCCAGGAGGAAAGGATAAGGGAACTGCAGACACCATCTGGGCAAGGCTAGGGTGGTCTGCAGGCTGCACTGGCCTTGAGCCAAGGCTTGATGGGACCCTGCCCAAGGTTTCAGCACAGCTCAGAGCAGGCACCTTTGGCAGAATTTGAGCCAGGTGGCATGCTGTCTGGCAACCACTCCTTGAGAGACATTTCATTTTCCATGTCTTTTGGTCTCTTCAACTCTTCTTTCTTTCCCATTTCCATCCGTAGATCCTGAGACAGGAAAAAAGAACTAAAAACTTTCTAGACCTTGTCCCACCCTAAAAGTTAGCATAGGGCAAAAGCAAATTTCCAAGCTGGGTATGGTGCCACATGTTGGTAATCCCAGCACTCAGGAGGCTAAGGCAGGAGGATTCTAGTGAGTCTGAGGCCAGCCTGGGCTACATAGTGAGTTCAAGACCAAGTTGAACTACTTAGTGAGACTGAAAACAACAAAGGAGGGCCAGGGATTTGGCTCAGTGGTTCCGCTGCCTGCCTCACAAACCCAAGGGCCTGAGTTCAATCCCTGGTAACCCCCCCAAATAAAATAAAATAATTTTAAAAATAACAACAAAAGGAAATTACCTTGTCTGCTGGTTAACACGGGAAGGTTTTGACTACTAAGAGGTAATGGTGCAGAGTCAACAATTTGAACACCTATGTCAGGCCGTGATGGTCCCACACCCCGTGGAGTTTACAATCTAAACCTCTTCATGATCTTTGCAAATCAGGCATTAAATGACCTTCCTTGGTGCCACTGGAGGTCATCAGCACGAAGTCTACACTTGGACGCACACCAGGATCCATGGAAGACCTGGGTGCAAATACATAATGATGGCTGAAGGAAAAACACTTTGACTTCATTTTATGATCTCTCTACGACCCTGTGAACCACATAATTAATATCAAGGACAGGCAAAGTGCAGAATTTGTAATCCCAGTGCTCTGGAGGCTGCGACAGGGAGATCACTAGGAGTTCCACGCCAGCCTGAGCTACATAATGAGTTCAAGGCCAGCTTGAACTACATAACAAGACTGTGTCAAAACACCCACCCCACCCCCGCACACAATATCCAAGAACAGTACTGGCTATCATAGCTTTTCCTCAGGATAGCTGCCCTGCTTCCTCCAGGGTGTTCTTTTATCTTGCTTTTTCCTCGCTCTTGGCTCTGCAGAGCCAGTTTCTCCCTCACCCTTCATCTTCACTTTCTCCCATAAACTTGGCCACTGCTAAAAAATCAAACAAACAAACAAAACACTCCCCTATTAACAGAGTGTGTTCGTTTTATTACAAATCCTGCAAAGGAGAAATCCTGTGCTCGGCTGAGAACACAAGAGAGGATGAGGCGGCTCATCCGAGTTTCCAGCCCACTGGCCTGGGGAACATCAGTCCCCCTTCCCACAGGTTATTCGGGGCTCTGCTGGAGCACGTGCCAGTCGCGACACCCCCCACTCTGGGGAGAAGTGCCCGGCCACGTCCGCGAGATTCCTGGTCCCTGGCCGCGCTTACCAGGGTATATCCGCCAGGGGCCGGTCCAAGGGAAACCTCTCAAGTGCTCGGCTAATATAGGCTCCCGGGATACTTGGAAATGCTATAGTTTTCGTGTGTTTCCTCAGGGAAACCCATCAGGGCCCACAGTTCTGCCCTTCATCACCTGAGAGCTAAGGGGACACAAGAATGCAGCAGGCTGTTAGACAGGTTCTGGCAGATCGACGCTACTCCCACTGCTATTTATGTGAGACTTCTGACGGACAGGTCCAGATATTCGGGGCTTTGAGGTGAGTAGAAGCCAAACCGCAAAGAAGGCGGATTTGTCCTGGGCGGATCTTGTGCCCTGGGTTATTAGGGCGGGACGGATTTTTTTACCCACAATATGGGGAAATTGAACTCAGCGACTTCTCACTGAGTTACAGCTCCAGTTCCCTCTTTATTATTTTCTATTTTGAGTAGGGTCTCGCTAAATCTCTCCCACACCGGGGAGATATCATTTAGAGATGCAGAAAGTCAGGTGACTGCTCATAGCCCGCAGAACCCATATCCAAAGGTTCTGAATCCCAAGTCCACTTAAGTGCTTACAGTAGGATTTGGTACAAAGTAAATGCCTAATAAATATTAGTTTATTTATTTTGATACTGGGGATCGAACTCAGGACCTTGCGCTTGCTATACAGACGGCGAGACCACTGAGCTAAATCCCTGACCCGGTTTATTGTTCTTAATTGTAATTACAGTTACCATTAGTATCCTATCTCAATCAGAAAAGCAGTGTTAAATTACCGCTGGTAAATGTGTAATAAAAACTGAGAAATGAATCAAATCACCTCTTAACCCACAGCTACTATGGGCTTATTTTAGTTTTATATGTACTACTGACGGGTCCTCAAGACCCATTAATTTTATTTTTTATAAAAGCAAAAAAGTATGCTAAATTTGTATCTGTAAACTCATTATGTAAATATTTGTAACAAAAAATTAATTTTCAAAACACTTAGAACAAAGTTTCTTACAGCACTGATTACAAATTGGCATTTAAAAAAAAATTTTTTTTTTTTGGTTTTTTGAGACAGGGTCAGACTATGTAGTTGGGACTGACCTGGAACTCACTATGTAGCCCAGGCTGGTCTTGAACTCACAGCGTTCCCTGCCTCAGCCTCCCAAGTGCTGGTATTACAGGCATGTGCCACCACACCCAGTTTACAAATTGGCATTTTAATCTGGGGATTTAGCTCAGTGGTTCCACCGCCTGCCTGGCAAGTGCAAAGTCCCGAGTTTGATTCCCTGTACCCATCCCCCCCAAAATTGGCATTTTACAAGTGTCACATTGGAGAGCAATTCTTCTGTCCTTGCTGCTGGGACATATGGCCCATATTTTCCTTCTTTTGTCAGGTTGACTGTACTCTTCTGTTATAGGAACCTCCATTCCCAGGATTTCTGCTATAAGTTTTCATACTTTTATAGGCACTTTATTAACAGCCATTCTGGGATGTAGATTTTCCTCAGTTAACTGCATCTCAAGGGTTTGTTTTTTTGTTTTTTGTTTTTTTTTTTGGTACTGGGGCTCGAACTCGGGTCCTTGCGCTTGCAAGGCAGGCACCGGAACCACTGAGCTAAATAAATCCCCAGCCCCATCTCAAGGGTTTGAATAAAATCAAAACGTTTTATTATTTCACTTTGTTGTATAAACTGGTACAATATGTAGGATAACACCTGAAACATTTAAAATAGCATAAAAAATGTCATTTGTCAACAGTTGGTTCTTCTGCATTTCGAATATAATGGATATTTTCTATCTAAATGGTCAACTCTAGATTTTGTGTCATTATAAAAGTGAATAATTTCAGGCTTTCTTGTCAACAGAATTGCTGTTAACAGAATTGATATTAATATGACACTTTTGCCCCTTTTTTGGTACATACAGAACTAATGTGTGACAGCAGAAAATCCAAATACTGATGTCTGAATTCAGCTCGTTTTCTATTTGGTAAAAATTCAGGTGGGATAGCCTATAGGAACCAACCTATAAATTTCCCCCCTGACTCAGGAAGCTGACAAGGACTAAAGACAAAGACACAAGGATAATTTGGAAGAGGAGGGCCAGGGAACTTTGCCTCTAGTGGACAATGAGAGCCCCAAACTGCCAGTGCTTCTCACTTTTGTTAGACTTGCACAAAGAAGCGAGCAAGCGTGTGATCCAGGGTTCAGAGAGAATTTATCGGGTTCTCATAATTTGTAGAAGACACCTGAATGTGTTTTTTCTTTTTTGTTTCTCTCCTTGAAACTGGTTGATGCTGGCATACAAGCAAACAGCCCGAGAAGGGGGATGGCTTTCTGTTCCCTCCCCTGCCTCTCAAGAGCTCAACCTAGGTTTCAATCTTACAGCTGGTTTCCTACAGTAGCCCTCTTATTTTTTTCAAAGTGCCTACATAAATCAGATTTTTCTTGTTAAGTTCATCAAGAAGTTCCACTGAGCCATACCAACTGTCACCGGTAATGTTTTAGTACCTTTAGTACATTCCAGCAGCCTAGGAAAAACTCTTGTAAGATTTAATGAAGTGGGTTTGGTCAGATTAGCTGTCTTTATTTCAGCACCAGCATATATTTCTGCATTTAGCACATAATGAGTCTTAGCATCAGCTAAAATCTGCATCTTTATGCCATATTTTTCTGGCTTATTAGGCATAAACTTTTAAAAACTGAATCTTCCTGGAAATGGTACCACCATCTTATCTATAGTTAGGCGGAATCCAGGAGAATAACATTGACCTGCTGACAGATTCATCAAATAAGTCTGAGTCAGTAGCTAACCTATTGTCTAGATTCAACATTATCAAATCTGATAACATACTAAAAATAAAAATCCAGCCAGACTCACAGTAGCATGAAAAATGGGTCTTCCTGTTCCATTTGTTGCCCACATTTGAATGAACAGATACCTTCATAGCCAGTAAAAACTAATAACTTAGGTTAGTGCTTTGACACAGGAAAAATGTGATATCCTATTTAGTACGGATAGGTCCTCAGGACCCAATATATTTCTGTAGAATCTTAGACCCTGAGCATGAATCTCGTGCACTCTGGACTAGTACTCCTTGTGGTTGGAGACTATAGAAACACTTAAGTGTGGGCGCCAACTGTAGGCAACCCTGGTCTTGCTACAACCCACACAGGCATAGCATCCAAAGCCAGGAAGAACGGTGGGAGATGAACAAAAGATGACAACACAACAAGATTATTCTTTTTTTTGGTACCAGGGATTGAATTCAGGATTGATTTTGAGATTGTGAGGCAGGCCGCGGAGCCACTGAGCCAAATCTCTGGACCTTTTTCTTTTGTTTTTGGTACCGGGGATTGAACTTGGGTCCTTCGCTTGCAAGGCAGGCCACTAAACCTCTGAGCTAAATCCCCGGCCCCAGACCTTTTTCTTTTTGGTACCAGGGATCCAACTCAGGACCTTGCCCTTGCAAGCCTGGCTCGGTGCCACCGAGCTAAATCCTCAGCCCAGCTTTTCTCCTTTGTACACACAGACAAGGTCAATTAGGCCTTAATTCTCTCTGGCTGACAAGTAATGTTGACCAATTAAGAAAACACAACATTTTTTTAAAAGTGCGTTGGGTCTACAAGACCTACCTGTAGTAGCTGCAGGTTATGACTTTTTCA